TGATAGCAGGACCACAGCTACTGGGCTGTGGAGAGATCTCTCTTTAGCTCACGGGGCTGGGTCGCTGCAGAGAGACGCGGAAGTCCCGGGTTCGAGCCCCGGACGGTGCAGGGGCCGACCAGATGCGGCAAGGGCGCCCGCCTGAGCCCCCGTTGCGTTACAATATATTATATCCCTATAATTGTATTCCTAGTGTAGTAATACATTTGTCTAATCATTTTATTTCAGAATCCAGTGGACAGATTACTGTGACTCAGACTCCAGCAGTGAAATCTGTTCTCCCTGGACAGACAGTCACTATAAGCTGTAAGACCAGCAGGTATGTGGATACGTGTGAATATACTTTCTCAACTTACCCCTGTCTTGCTTGGTACCATCAGAAACCTGGAGAAGCTCCCAAACTCATGATCAATTGGGCAACATATGTTCAGTCTGGGATCCCAGGTCGTTTCAGTGGCAGTGGATCTGGGACTGACTTCACTCTGACCATCACAGGAGTCCAGGCTGAAGATGCAGGAGATTATTACTGTTTGCAGTACTCTAGTGGGTTACACAGTGATACATGTCTGTACAAAAACCTCCCTCAGCTCTACAGGAGCTGCTCTGGCTCATCAACAGGAACCACAGAGGACTGAGGCTGAGAACAGCTGCAGAGCTGCTACAAGTGATCTGAACAGAGCTATGTTTGTACATAATTTATTAATATTGTGTTGTGAACACAAATAAATAATTTATAGATATACAATACTTAAGTTAATAAATGTAGAAAACTATGAAAATTGCAAATAAAATTAATACTACTTAATGAATGCCATCAGTTTATTTCATTATATATTTAACATTTTTAAATGTGTGTTTTTTATCCTTTAAAATGTTTGTCATTTTTGTGCAATTTTAAGCAAGGCAGTTCTGTATATTTGAAAGTAATACTTTTTAGACTAAGGCTCTGACAAAATATCAAAACCTGACTGGCAGATCACATATCTTGAGTGATAGTCAACACCAAATAAATAATAAACGTATTCAAGTATATACAGTACATGTGGTGTTTGTATATACTTGTGGTGTTTGTATATACTGTATATAAATTATAGCACTGCCCTCTTGTAGCCTGGTCTCTTCAGATATCAGAAGCTGAGTACAGCTGGGCCAGTTCACAACCAGGAGCTGTGGAGCCTGGCCAGGTTTCTGCAGGTACCTGTGCACGTAGATACTGTAGGTAGATACTGAGGGTACTTTATTGTCCACTACTATGGAAAGTTGTCTGTGGTTTCTCCCACAGAAGTACAAAACACACAAGCAAAACATAAGAGTCACATAAAATCAGATGAAATCACAACAACAGTATGTGATACATAAATAAATGGATACATAAGTAGATAACGGGGGGACTACATCTACACACCTTCATTGAGTAGTTTTATTGCAGAGGGGACAAAGGACTTCTTATAAATGTTTTTATTTGAATTTGGTCCCTATACCATCTTCCTGATGGGAGTATTATGAACTGAGAATGGAGTGGGTGTGTGGAATCAGCCGGTACTACCACTGGTAACAGAGCTGCAGGCTGTACAGCTGATAGAGACAGAGCTTCCTGGGAGAACAATCTGAGCTGGAGACTGAGTCAGGACTATCTGTCCACTGGACTCTGGAGAGGGAATAGTTATACATAAGAGATTATTAATAACTGATTGTTTCAAAAATGTTTATCTGAATGAAAAACACATTTGCCATAATCTGCATTATGTTAACAGTACTTGTTATTTACAATATTCAGAATAATCTGAATCACAGAATGCAGAATAAGTTTTAATCATCACCTTGAACAAAGAGCCCCAGTGTCCCCAGCAGTAGAATCAGTGGCATCATTGTCTTGTGTGTCAGTGACTCTTAAAGGGCTGAACAGTGACTGATCCACACTGTGAGTCTTAAAGTGTTTGGAGCAGTGAGGCGGCACAGGTATGCAAAGCTCCTTCCTGTATACAAATCCTGTCACAGACAGTTAGATGAGATCTGAGCTGTGAAAACACTTCAAGCTTGTTTAGCGTTCATGTCTGTTGACATTTTTCTCTTTTCTAACCCAGTAAAAGCACAGTGTCTTTGTGATATAGTGAGAGGTGGTTTTGTGAAGCCATGATCTTCGCTCAAAGATCAGGTCCTGTGTTAACTTGAGCCATGATGGCCTCCTGTTTTTTGGGAAAAGCTGCAGACTGTTGTGGGAAATTCTTTAGCAGAAGTGCAGTAGACTGTGTTGTGTAGTTTCGGCCCTTATTGAGCTCAGTGCTCACAGTGACTGTCCCGCAGAATAGATATATCCCAGAAAACTGATTGGAGTTGTTTAACACTTTCATTATTGTCATCTTCTTTGAGGTTTATTACTTCTCATCTTTTAGCAGGAAATTAGTTGATGCAGCTGTTAATACAGAGCAGCCTTTAACCTTTTTGTTCTAACTTTGTGGTACAGGCAGTGCATGGCTGGGCTAAGATACTCCAGCAACTACTCTTATTCTGTACCTCCCACAATGTAATAGAGCCATAATGTGTGAAAAATGTACATATCCCATTTCAAGAATGAGCCAGAGCTGTTCTGGAAGAGAAATTGGCACACATGAGGGAATGGAGCTGTTGGAATAGGAGCTGTGTGGAATTAGCCAATCCTCTGGGCTGATTAAGAACCTTTTAAGATCTGTTGAGAGTATATTTTTCCAACGTTTGTGAGCATAAAATATAGCTCATAATCTGTGTTGCATATTTTATAGAGCTTTTTTTGCTCATCTTTATCAAGGGTGCCATTAATTTTGGAGTTGACTGCATGCATGAAATTACCCCAAAATAAAACCTATATAAAATACTTGTTATTCATATTTCACTAATGGCTACAAATGCGAACAGTTTGACTGTAAAGCACAATAACAGTTTTGACGCTGCTGTACCTGTACTGTTCATCACAATGACCACAGGATCTGTGTCTTATGGAAGTTCGCCTGTCTGCCTACTGGCTTCTCTGAATGAAAAAGATTATAAAAAGTACAGTACAGCCAACACTATCAACAATCAATGTAAATAATATATTCGCTATGCACACAATCTGTACAATAGTTGACAAGAACCACATACAGTACCATATCTGTTACACTAATTGCTTTTCACAATACAAAGTAGAATTTCTTCATTTTTGTAATATTCATAATTTCACTGTACAATGGTAATACATATTATTTTGAAAAATAATTTTGAAAAGGGAGTGTTAAAAGATTTTGAAGACAGTGGTTCTAAGTCATACGTTAGTAGTTGTGTGTTTTTAGTTTTTATTTTTACTCACCATTAAAGCAGACAAGATTCCAGATGAAGATGGAGCTGAAAGTCATTGTTGCTATGGGTTCTGTTGCCATGAAAGGCGGCTCTCAGTCATGAAGTGTTAAGCTCAAAGGGCTATACACTGTAGTAATACTTTTGTCTAATCATTTTATTTCAGGTTACAGTGGACAGATTTCTGTGACTCAGACTCCATCAGTGACATCTGTTCTCTCTGGACAGACAGTCACTGAGCTATAAGACCAGCAGGTCTGTGAATACCCCTGTCTTGCTTGGTACCATCAGAAACCTGGAAAAGCTCCTAAACTTCTGATCTTTGATGGATCTTCCCATAATACTGGGATCCCAGAGCGTTTCAGTGGCAGTGGATCTGGGACTGACTTCATTTTGACCCTCACAGGAGTCCAGCCTGAAGATCCAGGAGATTATTACTGTTTTCAGTACTCTAGTGGGTTACACAGTAATACATGTCTGTACAAAAACCTCCCTCAGCTCTATAAGAGCTGCTGTGGTTCATAAACAGGAGCCACATAGAACTGAGACTAAGAACTGAGCAAAGCTGCTATGATTTTTTAGTGGTTACACATTTATTAATATTGTGTTCTAAACACAAATAAATAATTTATAGAAATACAACTTTTTTATTTTTTTAAGAAAGCTCTGAAATTGAAAATAACAAATAAAAGTAATGCTATTAAACATTTTAGCTCATAAATGCCACCAGAGAAAATATTACCATACAGTACATATTTAGCGTTTCTAAATGTTGAATTTTTCTAAAGGAAAAAAGACACAGCACTCCACAACACTTGCCAATCATCATATATTAATAGTCCTATGAATCACCACACAATTGGCAGTCATATCCCTAATGTTCTATTAAAACCCACCTGAGATGTGGTCCCCAAGCTTCTGGTCTACATCTTAAATAACAAGTGGAACATCCTGGA